AATGATCCCAACACTGATCACAACTAAGATGGGAAATTTGTAATTACTTTGCATGAATGTAATGTCATTGATATGCTGCTTAGAGATGGTCACGACTATCAAAGTGGAGCCAGTGAGAATCAATAATGGAATCGCAAAATTCTTATAAATTCCCATCCCTACTGGTAACTTACAAATTTACAGTTTGTGGGGTGTTTGTTTGTTTGGTTTTTTTGCAGGTGACCTTCACACCTTTGAAGTCCTGTCTTCTGACACACAGAAAAATGTTCTTTCTGCACTGCGGAGACTGGAAGCGGTGACGAAGTTGAGGGTGTGAGTAATGAGATTAAACCTACATCCCTGTTTGGTTTAAGCTCATTTTCTTTGCTGGTTGAGGAGCTGTCCATAATGCTGATGCCAAAGTTACAGATGCACTCCTCTCATCTCAGGTCCCAGCAGAAGGAATACAAAGTGAACAAAGCAGCTGTCAGCAGAACTGGTGACATACTCTGTAAGTTTATTTGTGATACTCCAGTAACGATAAAGGTTTTTTATGTGTGTCTTGAGAATTATTATTTATTTTACCTTGCTATCTTTAAATATACTGATTATAAAATGTCTTTACTGTGGTTGAGTTTGCTATTCTGTTTAGTACGGTAGACTAAGGGATCCTTTTTTCCTGTTCTCTCACTGTAGCTGGGAAAGTCCCTCTTGAGAGCCTCCACACTACACCTGACGCAAGGCTTCAGTGTCAAGTGGAATAAATTCATCCTCAGTATCAGCTCACAGCCCCCTCCCCAATAAACTTACCCATCTATTCGCTACTTCTACCTCATTGTCATCCCTGTGGTCTCTTTATCTTTACACAGTCAAATCGGTACAAATGCAGTCTGTGCTCACAGGCAAAATACTTAATCCTTGATGCCGGCCAGACTTAATCTACTGAATGGTGGCTACCTCTCTGTCCTTTACAGACCTGAGAAGACTGAGATGAAGCTAAACGCCCTGCAGGATAAATGCTGGTAATATAAAGGTGGCCTATTACTGATTTTGTTTCACTTTAACCAAAATCAGTAGGTGAATACTAACATTTAGGTTAAGATAACTGTACTTTCCATTGCTGATCCTGTGGGGGTTTTTTTGTTTGTTTGGTTGTTTGTTTGTTTTTTTAATATATTGCCATAGATGTATTGTTTACTTCCATAGATGTATGACTAACTGAGAAAATTAATAAAAGAGCACTTTAATTAAACTTGGTTTCCAGTATGATTTGGCATGAAACAATTGGTTGTATGTAAAAGAATGTTGCAATAAGGCTCTAAACACCATAACAAGCAAAGATCTCAGGTTTTGTTTGAGGCATTGCTGAGCACGGTTGACCCAGTTATGCGCACTGTCAGCGAAATGCGTGGTGGCTCGGCGCATCGGGAGCGGGCCCAGGTACGGGTGACAAGCGGCTTGGGTCAGAGCATGGAGCAGCTGCAGCTCAAGCATGACGTTGCCTGGAGATAAAAAGGTAACTGGGTCAAACTGGAGTCTAAATGAACACCATGGCTAATGTGGAGAACCACAGACAGCGCCAGATGTCCACATAATGTTCAAAAAAATTACCAAGTCCAAAGTTCAAATGTTGAGTGCTGTATGGACGATGTCCAGAATTGGCCATGGACTGGTGGACCCAATATAGACACAATCTGCATGTCTAATGTTTAGTGAGGTGAGAGTCACGTAACCCAGGCTGCCACTGATGACACCCTAAACCTCCAGGAGATAGATGATGTTCAAGAAGCTGTGCTACTGTCCCTGTCCAAAAAGATGATCCTACAGCTGCTTCATGTAAACAAAACAGATTTTGATAGAGGAGGATTAGTTAGCATGTGAAAACTGATATTTTCCAAAACCTGGACTAACAGATGAAGCGGCGTTTTATGTCCAGAGATGGGAAACAGAAGGTGAAGCACTTTGATTACATTATTGAGTTCTCAGTGCTTCCCACAGATTTAGATGCTTTTTGTGGTGAGCGGTGTATGTGGACTGTGATCAGAGGAAAGCAAGCTTTCTTAAATACTCTAATAAGACAGTTCAAAAGAGTCTGTCCAACTGCAGTTGAGTGATTTAGGACAGTCACAGCTGGTAAAGAAAAATAGGAGCCATAAAGGTCTGGGGCTAGCAGCTGTTCATTTACCTACATCTTAAAATCTGTTTGCAGGAAACACTTTTTCTTTGTTATAAAAGTGTAAAACATGAATTCTGGACAACCTGACAGTTTTCCTAACCGGGTGTACTAGATAAGTGGAAGAGAAAGGTTGGATGGAACTATAGATAGACAAAATAAAATGAGTCAAATAAATAAGAACATTAAGTGCCATAAAAAATACAGTAAAACAATAAAATAAACAGGTAGTTTTACAATAAGTAAATAATAATAATTAATTAACTTTTTCAACAGAAGCCCATTTAAATGACAATGTTTTTAACTGCTTTGTCAAAGAGTCCTTAGAGTCAACTAAATGTAGTGGCAGTGGTTGCGTGATCCACAGCCTTGGCATCACTGACTGAAAGGCTCTGCTCAACTGGTAATAGAGTAGAACTCAATGATTTTTAGCAAATTTGGCATCAAAGTGATTTTAGTTAAAACATTTACATCAGTAACAAGAAATCTTACTGTAAAATTTGTAAATCGATTGACATCCACCATGAAGCATTTTCCACTGTCAATGCCTGAGTGCTTGTAAAAATTACAGTTTCTATGGCTTTGGTTTCATTGAACTTGTGTGCTAGTGTGGTTAACACCTAGGTTAAGTAAAGCCATTGACTATATGTCAAATGAGATAAATTTAACAATAACTGGTGAATCATGTGTATATAAACAATGGTCAAATATAAGTGACATATATTTTGCAGTAGGTAGATAGCATTTTTGATTTTTTCCACAGAAAATCTATTAAGAGAGTCCTCTGATAATTTAGAAGAGCAAACGCTACTATAGAAAGAACAGCAGGAAGTGATAGTTACTACTACTACTACTACTAATAATAATAATAATAATTTTATTTAAAAGCGCCTTTCAAAACACTCAAGGACACTTTACAGAACAAATAAGACAAGCATAAAAACAGGAAATGAACACAATAATAAAACAAAGTTTAAGAGCATGGAGTAGTTATACAGAGTAGGCTATCTTGAACAGGTGGGTTTTGAGGGTGGACTTAAAAAGGGGGAAAGAACTGATGTTTCAGAGGTCAGGGGGTAAGGAGTTCCAAAGTCGAGGGGCAGAACAACTTAAAGCCCTGCACCCCATGGTAATAAGACGAAATGAAGGAACAGAAAGAAGAAAAGAAGAGGAGGATCTGAGGCACCGGGATGGGATGGAGATCTGTACCAAGTCAGAGAGATATGGTGGGGAGAGAGAATGAATAGCCTTAAATGTGTAAAGGAGTATTTTACAAATTAATACAGAGTTGAACCGGGAGCCAGTGAAGCTGCTTCGGGATAGGGATGATGTGGTGAGTAGAGGGAGTCCTAGTAATAATACGGGCAGCAGAGTTCTGGACACGTTGAAGCTTGTTGATGAATTTTTGTGGCAGGCCAGATAACAGTGAGTTACAGTAGTCAATCCGAGAGGTAACGAGATGATGGACAAGAATAGCAGTGGCATGTGGGGTGAGGCGATTGATGATACTGAGTTGGAAATATGCTGAGCAAGTGATATTATTGATGTGAGAGTTAAAGGATAATGTACTGTCAAGAATGATGCCCAAACTTTTCACAGAGGAAGAGGGGGAGAGTGACTGTTATTGTAATTTATTAGAAATCTGTTTATGTGTATCTTTTTATGCATTTATAGTGAAACATTTCAAGGGATCCCTTGAAATGTTGTCCCTTTTTTGCTAGTCACTCTACAGTAGTTACAACTTTAGAAAATATCAACTCATATTTATTATAGCTTATATATAGGTATATAGGTAGTCCACCTACCTAAAATCTGACGCTTAGGGTGTACCTTAAGTCAGAGCATGAAGAAATGTTCCTAGTTAACACAGAACAGTAAGAAAATCTCATATATATATATAATTACTGCCTTTGTTGTAAACTCTAAATGGATTTGCCTGGATTTTTAGTTTGTTGTGAGAAACGGACTATTACGCCTAATCATTTCCATGCAAATGGAAAAAAACAAAAACAAAACAAATGGTTGGGAGATTTTTCACAAATCAGTATCCAAAAGCATCTACACAGCAGCTGTACTCAGATTCCTGTGACATATACACACTGAGTTTAACAGTCATCGTGATTAAGCACTTTTAATGCTTAATCAAGATTCCTTAATCACGAACAGATTCTTTTAAAAGTATAGGGTTTATCCTTTAGCCAAATAGAAACAACCATATTCATCATTTTAAAATTCACTGAGGAATAGATCTGATAAAGGTATGTACAGCATATTAAGATACTTTGGGGATGGCTTCCATGTCCTGAAAAAGATAAAGAGATGGAGTCTGATGGAGGAAATTTTTCTACAGAATAATCATTTTCATTTTTGATACTTTATGTACAATTTTCTAATAATACAGTTTTGTGTGTACTGAGGTATTTTCATAGTGTTTTATTGCTTTTCTATTACTTTGGAATAGACAGACTGAGACAATGAAAGACAAAGAAAAAAAGGAACAGCAACAAAACTCCAAACCCAGATTGTAGCTGTTACCAGGCTAACAGCTGACTGAGGAATCAGCTGACTGAACCTGCTACCAGGGTAACCAGATAAAATGGGGCCGAAGAG